TTAAACACTGTGGACTTCTAAATTTCGCAATTTTTTCAGAGTTTATTTAAACCCTTTAAAAAAATACAACGGGATCTTTCTTTCATGCTTTGTTAGATCTCAAGGATGATTATTTAAAACAGAAATCTTTCAACTTCATTCAAGTATAGTGCACTACAGCTACTAACTAGGAAACAATGAGAAAACACTTTTCTTCACCTTAAGTTACAGATACTGGAAGTTTTTCCTTCAAAACAGGAGACAGTCCATCTGAAGCTAGTAGTAGATGCATAGTTAAGGATAACCTACTAGTATATGGAGCTCAGGAGATGTTACCTTAAGTTGAAGTCTTCCAAATTATCAGATGAGGACTGAGGTGAACAGGATCCTAAACCATAATTGGTCAGAAGAGTGGGAGAGGTTGAATATAGTTTGACCACTGCACATGTGTGATCATGTTCTTGAAAACTCTGCACAATCTTAATGCTCCCTTGTTATTGTCTCATTATTAGAGAGCATCACCTATATTACCTTTGGGGTATGTACTCACATTTTTAATTTTCTGTGGCATTGATGACTAATCATCCACCAAAAATTTTCCCCTCTCTATTTCAGAGCATGGTGTTGATGATGTGGGGAGGTGGCTGCACAACTAGAGATACACTTCCTAGCTACCCTGGATTCAGGTTTGTCCATGTGCTACCCCCACCAAAGGAACTTGAAAAGAGATTGTGTCGCCTCCATGCTTAAAGCATTTAAGCAGCAGATAGATCTGAGATGGAGAACTCAGAGGCACCAGAGTATGGTGGAATCAAAAGGTGGAAAGAGGCTGGGTTGCCTGAATGATTCCATGGAGAAAAACTGCCCACTAGTCAGAAGTATTCATACTGGACTCAAAGAAGTGAGAAATTTAAAATTTGATGTTTATTCATTGGAGCAGCTAGAGTAACCCTATAAATCCAAATCCAAAAATAAAGTAAAAGAAAATGTGATATATTGGAGTTTTAAAAAATTCCTGGCTATGGAAAGGTTTGAGAAATAGTTATAATCTTAAAATACATGGGCTGGTCTCATAATTAAAAGGCTATAACCATTGAAAGTCATCTCATTAGTCCAAAACATTTAATAAATATTAATAGTCATAATTTTCCTAAGGATTAAAAGTTACTGGAACAAGTTGGGGGTCTCTTGTTGAAACAAATTATCAGAATAAAGGAAAAACTTAATTTACCAACTGAGAAATTGAAAGACGTTAAAAGCATAGATGGAGGTGAGAGTGAGGCAAAGGTACGAACTACAATGGGTGTTTTTCTAGACCAGAAGTAGTCAGGCGAGGTATTCCATTTCCATTTTCTCATTGAAATGTTTGATATCTATCTTGTTTATCTGTTAAAAGGTCGAGTCAGAGAAAAAGATGTTACATCTCTTTAAAAAATTTCAAGTACGAAGAGAAGCAAATCAATGTCATTGTTAATAAATTAGAATAATGAGAACACATCTGTATATTGAAGGATAATAAAATTAATTTCATTTATCTTTCAGATTAGATTTGGAAGTTCAATGAAATCTGTGATTACACATTTTACTATAGATATATTAATAGAAATAGAAGTTTAGAAATAAAATGAGAGATAAGAATTAAATGGGTGATATCTTTAAGAACTGTCTAAGTTGACATTGTAATATAAGAAATGCATCTCTGTTTACAGAATAAGAATAGACAGGTTTTCTTCAATATAAGGAGCAGGTCTTTATCAAAGGTCACTTAACTGTATATTTTTTGAAATATTTCCAAGCTGCTAAAGTAATTATGTGTAATATTTTTAAATAGACCATTTATTTTTCATAAAGTAAAATTAATATATTTGAATAAATTTATAAGCTGAAAGACCACTTTAATTGTGTTTTGATTCATTTCTAAGAATTTCTATAGCAACTGTCACCATAGTTTTCAGATTTTCAGACAAATGTATTGAAAAATTAGAAAAATATTTCAGTAAGTGGAAATTTTCACTCTGATAAAATTAAAAGATGATGAATTATAAGAAGAAACTCAAGAAGATATATTTTTAAAAAGTGTTTGCTTAAATGAAGCAATTACCTTGGGAAAATATTTCCAGATATTCCAAAAAGATGACTAAGAAATGAAATGTATCAGAGGAATGACTTGGTTATCTGCATTCTTTGAGGCAATTCATGAACTCGATTTCATCTGAGGAATGCCATGCACTTAACTCTCTGGCCTGAAGACCCTAATTATGTATTTGAGGGATCTACCTGGCCCACTTAGCAGCTTCAATTGGGGCCCCATCAGGAAGAGTATGAGAGGCATCTTACAGATTTTCCTTACTCACCAACATACATGCCAGCCATGCCAGGACTTTGATGGTAGCAGGCTAAGCCATGTCCCACACTGCCCAGATGTTCCTATGCCCAACCCAAGCTATTTACCTGGCTTGCTGGCCCCTGGTTCTCTTTGCCATCTCTGCTCCCTGCTAAGGCCAGGTCCCTTTTCAGCCTTGTGTCTAATATTCCACCAAAGTCTCACCCAAGTCTGGGCTGTCCCTTCTGAGCCCAGAACAGGTCATTGCCATCCAATACCTGGCACTGCATAATATATAAATGGGACAATTCAAAGGCCATCAGTGAGATATTAGATCATTTCTAACACATTAGAATGCTGAAATCAGGTTTATATCACTTCCATTCAGAAACACGAAGACTAACAACAAATAATGAAGACTAAAACAACAGTAAAATCAGTAAAATAATCAGTTTATAATCAATACTTATAATTATAAAAATTAAGTTTTAAGAATTTTTTTAATTTAAAGGAAACCATCAATAGAAATGAGATGTATTTCAATTAATAAAATGTAAAAAAACAGAATTCCAAGAGCACAGAAATTTACAAGAAAACAGAAAACAAGATGCCTAAAGAAATTAAATTTTACTTTTTTCAACCAAAATCCTTATGTAGTAGTCATGCCTTGCTTAACAACAGAATATGTTCTGAGAAATGTATTGTTAGGCAATTTCATCATTGTGCCAACATCTTAACGTGTATTCATGCAAACTGAGGTGGTATAGCTTATTATTCACCTAGGCTCTATGGTACAGCCAATTGCTTCTAGGCTACAAACCTGTATAGCATGTTATTGAACTAAGTACTATAGCCAGTTGTAACACAGTTAAGCATTTGTGTATCTAAACATATCTAAACATGGAAAATGTACGGTTAAAATATGATATTATAACCTCATTGGACCACCATGGGATATGCTGACCATCATTGATCAAAATGTCATTATGTGGCACATGACCATACTTCATATGCCTTTTATCTCACAAATTCACTAGAAAATTATTCCGGCCAGGCGCGGTGGCTCACGCCTATAATCCCAGCACTTTGGGAGGCCGAGGCGGGCGGATCATGAGGTCAGGAGATCGAGACCATTGTGGCTAACACGGTGAAACCCCTGTCTCTACTAAAAGCACAAACAAAATTAACCAGGCATGGTGGTGGGCGCCTGCCATCCCAGCTATTCGGGATGCTGAGGCAGGAGAATGGCGGGAACCCGGGAGGCGGAGCTTGAAGTGAGCCGAGATCACTCCACTACCAGCCTGGGCGACAGAGCGAGACTCTGTCTCAAAATAAATAAATAAATAAATAAAAAGAAGAAGAAAATTATTCCAAAGAAATAAAGATTGATGTGTCAAAGATTTAGCTATAAGGTCATTCACTGCATTTTTCTTTACTAATGAGAAAAAAAAAATGGAAATAATGTAGCCAAAGAACTGATTAAAAAAATTATGATACAGTGGGATACTGTATGCCATTGAAAATATCTTCATAACCTATGTGAAGTGATAAAAAATCCAGATTTTATTAACAAAAAATCACCAAAAATAACTGTCATATTTAGAATACTTATTTTGCTTGATAAATCAATATAGAAGTATGTGTGTGTACAGTAGCCGCCTCTTATCCATGAAGGCTATGTGCTAAGACCCTCAATGGATGCCTGACACTATGGATAGCACTGACCTATGTTTTCTTCTAGGTATACATGCTGATGATAAGGTTTAATTTATAAACTAGGAATAGTAGAGATTAAAAACAATGACAAATAATAGAATAGGTCTAACAGTAATACTGTAATAAAAGTTACGTCAATCTGGCCTCTTTCTCTCTAAAAATATCTTTACGGTATTCATCACAGGTAAACGAAACTGCAAAATGCAAAATCACAAAAAGAGGGGACTACCACATATACATGTATGTGTACATATATGTGTGTGTATATATATGTATAAATGGAAAAGTATAAATCAAAATATTAAGAACTAGGAAGGTATTGCTTATTTTTGTATAATTGATCCATAATTTCTAATTTTTCTGCAAGAAACATTTTATCTTTGCAACAAGTAAAAATGTATATATAATTTTAGATTCATTTAATAAAGTTTTAAAAACCTATTTACAAGAAATGCATATAAAGAAAAAATATAAAGCTTAAAAATACTAAGATGAAAAAGAGTTTAGAGGTAAATAAAAACAAAAAGTAATCAAAGATAAAGCTGTCACTTTAACCAAAGCAATGTGAGTTAACAAATATTTATTTAACAACATTATACAGCCAATAAAATCAAATTTTTTCTTAATATTTTATTATATTAATGAAAATCTTATGATACACTATCAAGCAAATATGAACCCTTCCAAATATTATAATATCTCAATATTTAGTTCTTGAAAATTAAAATTTTTAATGTGGGATTGGCCTTCTATGTGTGTGTGTGTGCATGCGTGTGTGTGTGTACTTTTCTTGCTGTTGAACACCTACTATTTGTTAATGTCCAACTACATCACCAGCATTGGCTTTGAGAACAAAAGGATAAAGACAAATGCAATCTATGAACCTTTTAATTTGCTAACATTTCTTAAGAAAGACTAATAACCCTTAATATTCGTCTACTCAATAAACACACTATTTATATGAATGGAAGGTCAACACAACCTGAGACTTTTTTCATGCGTTCTTCCAGATTTCAATGGCTGCTGAAGCTCAGTTGCTGTAAATCACAAACAAAAGCACACCCATATTTTAAAACATGGACTTTATAGATAAAAGAAATCACTTAATAGGATATATATTTGTCAACATCTACCTTCCTTAGCCTGGATCCATCACTGTGGTCTGGCTTTGAAAGCCTAAATTCTGGGGCCATGCTGATCATACTAACAGTATAATAGGCTCAGAACCACGATCAGATGAGGGCATCAGTAAAACTTATTCCCTACATAGAATGACAAGGGTTCTCTCTCAGAATCGGTGTGTCTACTCAATTGTAGCCCTCCTTCTCAGTCCCTGCTGCACTTGTTCAGCCTTCACATTTTAGTTTTTTCTTGTTTTCTGATCTGTGCTCCAGTTTGTTTCCCTAGAATCTTGACCCAGTTGGTCACGACCTGATATCTATATGGTGGAGGCTGCTTCCACCATCATGTACCTCTTGATGCTGGTAGAATATGGCTCCATGAAGTGCAGATTACCAACTCAATAACTATAATGCACTGTATTGGCCTGTTTCAATATGGCTGCAACCTGGACATTAGAGATGTTAGGAATTCAGGTTCTGGAGTCAAACTACTGATATCTAATCCTATCTTAGCTGCTTACAAATTGCATAGAAAAATGAGTCATTTAACTTCTCTAAGCCTATGTCTCCATCTGAGAGCATATCTCTATGGGGTTATTTTGAGAATTAAATGAGATTGCATAAAATGATCCTGACATATGACCAGCCCTTGCTAAGTGGATCTAGGAGTAGTATATTGGAGGACAGTGAAGAATGTAAGGCTTTCGAGGTAATGAAGAATGAAGAGAGACTCCATCTCACAGTAGATGATTGAATAGAAAGGATTGGGTATAGAGGTGCAAGTCTGAAACTAAGTGCTATGATGATGATTCAAGGATAAATCTTGGTCATATAAAAAGCTATAAGCCAAATAAGAAGAGATTGAATTAGTAATAAAAATTCTGCCATCAAACAAAAGTCTTGGACTGGATAGTTTCACTATGAATTCAAACATTTAAAGAATACCTAATACAAATTCTTCAAAAAATTGAAGAATGAATATTTTCAGGCTCATTTTATGAGGCCAGCAGTACCCTAATATGAAAATCAAAGAAAGTACAAAAAAAGGAAACTACAGGTTAATATCCCTAATTAACATAAATGCAAAAACCCTCAGCAAAATAATATCAAACTGAATTAAACAGCATGATCAAGTGGAATTCACCCCAGGGATGCCAGTATGGTAGAACGTACATAAGTCAATAAATGTGATATGTCACATTAACAGAATGAAGTACAAAACATACGATCACTTCAATAGGTGCAGAAAAAATATTTTGAAAATCGAACTTCCTTTTATGCAAACAAACAAATTAGGTATAGAAGGAGTGTACCTCAACAAAATAAAGGTTACATATGACAAAACCCCAGTAAACATCATACTTACTGGAAAAAAAGTTGAAAACTTTTTCTTTAAGATCCATAACAAGAGAAGGATGCTTATATTTACCACTTCTAGTTAATATAGTACTAGAGGCCTAGCCAAGCAATTAGGCAAGAAAAGGAAATTAAAAGTATGCAAATTGTAAAGGAAGAACTTAAATTGTCCCTATTTGCAGGTGACTTGATCTTACATATCAAAAATCCTGAAGACTCCACCCCAAAACTATTAGAACTAGAAAAACAATTCAGTTAAGTAGCAGAATTCAAAATCTACGTACAAAAATTAGTAGCACTTTTGTACACTAACAGTGAACTATCCAAAAAAGAAATCAATTGTATTTACAGTAACTACTAAAAAATAAAATGCTCATTAATACATTTAACTACGAGGTGAGAGATCTGTACACTGAAACCATAAAATATTGATGAAAGAACTTTAAAAAGACACAAATAAATGGAAAGATACCCTGTATTCTTGGATTGGAAGAATTAACATTGTTAAATTGCTCATAGTACCCAAACCGATCTATAGATTCAATTGAATCTCTATCAAAATTTTGATGTAATTCTACACAGAAATGAAATAATAATCCCAAAATTCATATGACACCACAAAGACCCCCAGTAGCCAAAATAATCTGCAACAAAAAGAAAAAGGCTGAAGGCATCATACTACATGACTTTAAAATATGCTGCAAAGCTGTAGTAACCAAAATGGCATGGTACTGGCACAAAATCAGACACACAGACCGATGAAGCAGAATGGAGAGCCCAGAAATAAATTCACACATTTACAGCCAACTAATTTTAGACAAAGGTGCCAAGATTATACAATAAAGGACAATTCTTGATGGTATTGGGTAAACTAGATGTCCACATGAAGAAGAATGAAATTAGACCTTTCTCTCTCATCATAAACAAAAATCAACTCAAAATGAATTAATGATTTAAATGTAAAACAATAAATTATAAAACTACTAGAAGAAAAGATAGGAGAAAAGTTCCATAACATGGGTCTGGGCAATAATGTTTGGGATATTACCCCAAAAGCACAGGCAACAAAAACAGTAGCCATAGCCATGGCTATTATCAAAAATAAGAAAGATAACAAGTGTTGGCCAGAAGATGGAGAAAAAAGAACCCTGTTTCCTGTTGTTGTGGATGTAAATTAGTACAGCCTTTACTAAGAAAAGTATGGAGATTCCTCAAAAAATATGAAGATACAGGAGCCCCCACTTCTCCATAGTTAAACTTTCTGTGGTTTCAGTAGCTGGTGGTCAAGTACAGTCAAAATTGTAAATAAAACATTCCAGAAATAAATGATTCATAAGTTTTAAATCGCATGCTGTGTATACACATATACACAGTGTATATGTTATTTGCCCATTACTCACTTAGTAGTCACCTAATAGCCATCTAAGTTATCAGATCAAAAAAGCATAGTATTTTTAGGGTTTGGTGCTATTTGTGGTTTCAGACATTCGCTGGGGGCCCTGGAACATGTCCTGCAGATAAGGGAGGACTACTGTGGAACTACCATACAAACCAGCAATTGTTTAATTATTTAAGTATTTAAATAATTAAAGATCCCAAAGAGGTATCTACATTTCCATGTTTATTGCAACATTATACACAATAGTCAAGGTATTGAATCAACCTAAGCAAATGTCCATCAGTGGATAAATAGGTGAAGAAAAAAATGTATTATACACAATGATATACTCGTCAGTCATAAAAAAGAAGGAAGTCTTGTCATTTGTGATGACATAGATGAGCCAGAAGGACTTTATGTTAAGTGAAATAAGTCAGGCACAAAAAAACAAATACTACATAAATTTCAGTCATATGTAGAACAGAAAAAAGTTGACGTCATGGAAGAAGAGAGCAGAATGGTGACTATCAAGGGCTGTGGTGGTTTGGGGGTGGGATTAGGAAGATGTTGTTAAGGGACACAAAATTTCAGTTAGATAGAAGAAGTATGTTCAAAAGATCATTACACAACATGTCAACTATATTTAATAATATACTGTATTATTAAAAAATGCTAGGAGAGTAGATGTAAAGTATTCTCACCACCAAAATGATTACTATGTAAGGTAATGCACATGTTAATTAGTTAGAATCAATCATTTCACAAATACGTATATACTTCAAAACATGATGTTCTACATGGTAAGTTCATACAATTTTATCTATTAATTTAATTTTTTAAAGAGAGAGGGGAAGCTAGAAGCCTAGATAATTAGACATACAGGGAAAAAGCAAGACTACCCTAATCTTAATGTAAATTTACCTGAAACATTAAACTAGCCCTTAAATTTTGCACAGTGTGGAAGATAATTTTTTTCTAGGGCACTAGATGGGGAAAAGAATATAGATGTTAGTAAAAACACCAAAGTTTTTGGGGGTTGCAGGCTTGTCATATGGAAAATCAAAGGGTCATTATAACCACCTTTTCTCTTGAGCCATATAAAACCTATACTAAGGCCTGCCGATCTACCAATCTCCCTGAAGTGCAGTTATAGTCATCAGCCAATTTGTCTCTCAAAGCCTTGAATGGATTACAGAATTACATACAACCTTTTCAGCACAACATCATATGACCCAACTTTCCTTTGCAGCCTTCATCTCAATATAGTCCTACGTGTACCTAGTGTTCCAATGAAATGGATTCTGAAATACGTTGTGTATTTTCCTGCCTCCAATATTTTGCTCTCACAATGTTTTTTCCTCTGGGAATCCTTCCCACCTTATAGATTTGTTGCAACTGGCTCCTTCAAGGCTCATCTCAAATGCAATTTCATTGTATGGTACTACAATACCAATTCAGTGGAATTTGTAGGTCCAGAAACCAAGGGATAAAGTAGAAGTTGTCCCACTTACTACTATTGCCAGCGACACTTGGGAAATTCGTGCATATCACCCTCATATCTTTAGATTTACTAGGTTTAGAGGTCTCAGTTCCAAGACAGTAACACTTCCACCAGGGGGAATAATAAAATTCCCATCGAACCTGTTAAAATTTCATTTTATTGAGGTGTAATTTACATACTGTAAAATTTACCCTTTTATTGTATAATTTGACTAGCTTTATCAAGTATATTAATTGAATAACCACCAAATCAATATATAGAACAATTTCATCACCCCAAAATATTGCCTCATGCTCCTCTGAGGTCAAGTCCTACTCTATTCTCAATGTCTAGCAACCAGTGATATATTTTCTGTCCTAAGATTTTGTCTTTTCCAGAATGAAATCATGAAATATGTGACCCTCTGAGTCTGATTTCTTTCATTTCCCATACTGCATGTTGTTAAATATATCAGTAGTTAATTGCTTTTTATGCTAAGTAGTATTCCGTTGTTTGAAAGTACTAATTTGTTACCAATTGGGCAGTTGAAACACATTTTCATAGTTTACATTTTGGGCTATTATGAATAAAGATATGTAAATATTCATTTACAAGTGTTTCTGTACTTATATGTGAACATAAGTTTTCATTTGTTTTCAGTGAATAGGAGAGAGAGTGGTGGGTCATATGGTAAGTGTAAGT